GGCCCTGGCCAAAGTACTGGTTCCCGTAAGATTCATATCCCACCAAGTACTGCTTGTCGTATGTGTTACTCCAATAAAAACTCCAGGCACTGCTGGGCTTTCCCTTCAGTTTGCCACATATTTCTAGTATTATCGTCTCAGGACAGAGTAATACAGCATCTCAGGACAGCACTGAAGATTTTAGCAAGGTAAGAATGGATCTTTTTTCTCATCCTACCTTGAAAGCTGCTTTTGACTACACAGAATACATAGGGTTCCAAAAAGCTGGACTTATTTTAGGTTTTTTAGTAGTTTCCAACTTGACACAGGAAAGGCATGCAAATTATAGAGTACTGTTATATGCAAGTTAATATCTCCTGAGGCTGTTAGACACACAATATCTGGACACGATGAAAAGATGGGATCTTTCTCTGGATGTTATGTTAGCTACCAAAGAGGTATCAGTATTTCCCTTTCACAAGCTAGGAACGGCAAGGGACAAAGTGACAAGTTTTCCATCAAGACAATTTCAGTTTCCTGAACTTCCTGATAAATAAACATTCTCCAAGAATGTAGGTGACCTTTTGATCACTGCATGTATGGAAGTTGTCTGAGAAGGTTCCCCAAGAAAAAGAAGTGTTTGACGTGTTCTGTGAGCGGTTCTGCTAGAAATGCTGAAGCTCTGAGCATGATTAAAGAAGTTTAGTACCACAATCAGCAGCGTAATATTTGGTACTTTCATACAATATAATGTACTTTGGATATTATGTACATATAATATACTTTGGATATTTGGTACTTTCTATGGCAAGTTTCTCTTAGCTGCTACACAGCTGCACAGGTTTTGAGGAACTCATTCCTTTTTCATGTCTTCTTTCATTTCTTTGTGAAGTTTCTGCATCTGTTTCTTCAGTGCAGCCCAGCATGTGAAAAAGCTGAAAGTCCCAAGAAGAGAGAAGAGGCTATTTGGAGACTGAGGTGTTAGTGGTCAACGCTACCACACAGTGATGGTCCTTAACACTGTTTCCTGTCGTGAGGGTGCTTTGGGTACACGTGAAGCCAAGATGTAGTTTCAATTTGATTTCTTGTTCTGAGTGTCCAGAGCTGACTTCAGTTCTACTAACTGTGCAGAGCCTTTCCATGTCCTGCGAGTACCAAGTGTCTCAGGGATACAAAAAGATGGAGCTGAAGTCAAAAGGAAATGATCCATTAAAATAGGAAATTAAACACTACTGAAACACTACGATACCCTTGGCTCTGCAGGCTTTATTATAACAGCTTTTTCATACTGAGTGTCACCTTCCAAACTAACTCATCCCATTATTTTCAGTATTAGAATTAAAGCATTTTACACCCACATCAGCCTCAGTCCTAAGTGCAGGTAATTACAACTCTAAAGGCAGGGCAGAGTCAGTTCTAATAGCTAGAGAATAAAAAAGCAGTGTTTCCATTAATATGACGATCATGTAGTTATTGTTAGATTCCAGCAATGGGCATAAATTAAAAGGGAGAGGTTGGTTAGCCCTTATACTTAAAAATAAGCACTTAATCTAAAATGCATGTGGCATCCCTTCCCGGCTCATTTTCCTATTGCCTGGATTCGGCTCTCAAGAGACATCTGATGAAAGAAGTATTAATGCACAGAGATTGGGCAGAATTTTTACCTTAGTCCTACAAACTATCACAATGAAGTAACGCTGTATGATGACATAATGCATGTATGTATGTTGTGCATATACACAATACTGTATTAGGGTGACATAAATATAACCACAGAAAAACTGATATAGGATTCCCTATTAAAACACAAAAACTTGAAAGTGTAATTAATATGAATTAACATGGCTTTAATGAAAAAATATTTCTGGCTTCTTTCTTTGTTTAGAATCTGCTTAAAAGAATTCAACTGCAGATACATGCTTAGATTGTCAGTGCTATTCACCTTTATCAGGGACTTTAGAACAATAAGAGATTATAGCTGATAAAGTCTGTGGATGAATAAAGACTGTGAAGAGTTAAATGCAAAGAAACAGTCCTCAGACTCAGATACAACAAGAGCACAATCATGTGTCATCTTGGTTCATGTAAACAAAGTTTGTCTTTACTCAAATGCAAACATATGTGTAGAGTGAAGAAATTTGAACCATATCTGTGAAACAAGGTAGTGTAATAGCTTGGGAAAAAATCTAGACATCATAAACAACTCTACAGTTGAGTCAGGACAATGATGTGACAGAAAAGTCTAATGCATAACGATTGTCAGCTCTAACTCTAAATTCTTGAAGTTTTATTCTTAAGGAATCTTCATATATTTATGAAATTTTTGAATGAAATAATTTTTTGCTAATGTGCCTTAGGTTGATATTCAGTGTCTGCACTTAGAAAACAGGAGAATGGATGCTAATTGGAGAAAACACTGAAACCCCCTGGATGCAATCAGTAGAGCTATGCCCAGATGAAGAATGACTTGTCATTTTCATCACTGCATGTGGCAGACAAGTGCATGTTGTGTAGAATTCCAGTGCCAGATTTTTTACAATGCTGGAGAAGTTGGAGAGATTACAGAAATAACTACAAATTAATTGCTAGATGCAAAAAAGAATGCCTTGAGATGAAATTAAAAAGGCTCGGTCTTCAAAGTTATCAAAAAGAAATCTGAGATATTTGTTAAGTACAGTGGTATTAATACCATATGAGTAGAAAACAGTGGTTAATAAAAGGTTTTTGATCTAGTAAGCAAAGGTAGAAATAAAAGTAATAGAACCTGAAGCCTGATGAACTTGGAAAACAATAAGATGCAGATTTTAACAGTGAGTGAACTTAACCAAATAAACTCTGTAGTGGTACATTCTTTCCCTCATCTTCAAACAAGTGGGATATGTTTCTGAAAGACAAGTTTTAGCCAAAATGGTATTTTAGTAGATCTCTAGCTGTTGGGCACAATATAGGGGCAAGTATTTTAAATGTGATGTCTTGTAAAATACAAGACAACAAACAGAGAGGATGTCGTCATTGAATTGTAAGGGATGCAAAGAAGTTGTTTGGTCCATCCCTATGTGTAGGGTAGAAACAACTGTACTAGAACTTATTCATGCCATAAATTTATCCCAATTCTTCACTGTGGACCTCAAGCCATGGAAATTACATCTTCACTTTTAGAAAGTGCCTCCTCACAAATGCTGCTGGCCTTTAAACACATTACTTCTTGCCTTCTCCACCATGGAAATGAAGGGAAAAAAAAAATTCCTTCTTCTTTGCTAGAGACTTAGGTATCCATTTTGTTCTACCTCAGTCTTAGCACATTTCCCTAAGCAACCACCGTTTGTTCAGTACCTCCAGGAATTGATGTTTTATAGACCTCTAATCATTCTCACTCTTCTCCTTCAGGCTCTCTCCAGCTGGCACACATTAAACCTGATGTAGCCTTCTCAGTACTAAGTGAAATAATTGTTTCACTTGACTTCTGGGCCATACTTTTGAATAAAATGATAAAAAGATATGTGGTACTGTACAACTTTAATCTTGGCTTATCTTAAATTGTAAGGGTCTGCTTTTGCAAGATGAATGTTCCTTAATGACAACACCAAAGAATTTACCTGTGTCATCAGCAGTGTTGGGACTTTTAGTACCTTGCTGTTTAAGTAGTGGAGGACCTTAACAGGTTTCAAAGGTACTGTTGTTGACGTGTACATTAACAAGTTGCTCCAAGCAGCCATGAAGACCAGTTTATCCAGAAATTTTTGAGTTCTTCGTAAGTAAGAAGAAAAACTGTCAAAGCTTAATAATTTTGCTTTTATTTCCATCTGACACATGAGAGGTCCTTCTAATAGTTATCTATTCCCCTTCTTCTGTCTATCCCAAGGACAGAATTTCAGACTCCCAAGGATCTAGGAAAAGCTCTTCCAGTAGTTTTTCTAACTTTCAGTCACGATATTAAGCACTACCAAATATTTGTCATTGTTCTGTGTTTAAGCCACTTTTTTCCAACATGGTGAAAGTTTGTTTTTCTTGACAAGGTTTTAACCTCCACTATACAAGTGTGAACTTGAAGAAAGTCTCCAGAAGGGTGTTTTTTTCAATTGTTATTCGTTTTAACTGAACTGTGAATTTACTTTTTCCTTCTGCTTTCCTCTTCCTTAGATTTTGTTGGACTTCCCTCCATATAGCTGGGGACAATTATTTCAGGGTAGCTTTTAATCCACTCATGATTCTTGAAACAAAATTCTAGGTTTAACATCATGGCGTCCAAACAGTGATTTCATTTGGTTATGTTGAATAACTTCTCTCAACGCAAACTCTCACAGCAATGGCTACTATGGTTTGGCTGTGGCTTGTACACAGAGCATGAATTCAGTGTGGCGCACGCACACACCAGCCCACTCATATAATTATGGCTTCTCTGCCTGGTGCACTGCATTATCTTGTTTTTAAGGCTGCACCTGTTTCTTGAGAGTGTAACTTTTGTGCAGCTTCTCAAACTGCCACTTTTCCAGTATGGGATTGCTAGAAAATTAAGTCCAGCCTTTTACAATTTATATTACAAACATATTTGAAGATGTACAGAGACCTATACACCTCTTAATCAATGCCAAATTATCTCTTAATCTCTCAACCATTCCCTTGAAATTCTGTCTCTGAACAAGGAAAACTTCAACAAGACTGCATCAGTGCTCATGTGAAACTCTGGAGCTGGTCTTTTCAAGTGAACTGTAGAATTAAATGGTGATTTAGTTTTAAAGCACAAGAGCTTATATACTGGATGAAATGATGTTTTTGTGTCTTGTTTGTGTCTTTGCAAAGACATTTTCAAGGCCTTCTATAGGCATTACGTTCTTCTAGGCAGAGTCTCACTACTCTAGTAAGATAAGGCAGAAAATACACCTAAGAAGCACGTTCAACAAAATGTATTTGCTCTGTGGTATGTGCAGTAGTGGTTCTTTATCCTAATACTTCATGTAAACAATGAGGTTCCTTCCTCAACTGTTTGCTTGCCAAATTCAATCTGTTCTGCTTTTTTTCAGGCCCTAACAGTGAAGGTTTGAAACAGATAGCACCTCCCTCAGCAGCGCTTTCCCCACCTGCACCACCACCACATGCTGCTATGCAGTTGCCACCTCCTCCACCAGCTTCTCACCCATCCCTGCAGACCCCAGCAGCTCCCAGCCTGCCTCCCAGAAACATCAAGCCCAGCTCCGAAACAATGTAAGTGAACATAAACCCCAAGGTCTTAATTTTCTCCCCTTTTTCTGCCTATTACTTTGCTCATGCAGCAGCAGATTAAGACTGCAGATGACCCAGGTTTCTGGGGGAGTAAGGTGCTACATCACTTACCTTCCCGTGTCCTATCCTGTCGCTGGCCTGTTTGATTAGTTTTTATTAGCTTGAACCCTCCATCTATTCAGTTGTTTCCCTAAATTGTCTTATCCCTAACACTTTTTTCGTCCCTGTTGGTTGGGGGGAGGGAACGGACACCCGCTGGTTTTTTTTACAACTGGAGGGTTCAAAGACTTCATACACTGGTACAAAAACAGTTGTATCAATAACTGAAGTTTTCCCCTGCATTTTCCGGGGGCAGAGGGCCAGGAGGGCCAGGTCTCCCAGTCGATACCCCAGGAAGCAGCTCCACCAGCCGGCGGT